AGAAAGAGCCCTGAATTTGGGTTCAAAGGACCACCATTTGATTTCTAGCGCTACTATTTACTAATTGCACATTATTAGGCAAGTCAGTTAGCATTCCCATGAAGCCCTAATTTCTTCATCTGTAAAATGAGGAGATGGGACTAAATGATCCCTGAAGTTCCATCTTCAAACTCTACATCTATGATTCCATAAAGCTAATCCTGTAATGAGTATAATAAAGACTTTTTAACTACACCTTTTTTCAAAATAGCTTGATGAGTTCTCATTTCTAAATGGGTTAAATGTATATAAAAAACGTGTAGACAGTATTCAAAATAAAGAATCTAGACTAACTTCACATAGTCTTAGAGGTGGATTGTATCCAACCCTCTCATTTCTTAGGCTTCAAAAGGGAAGAAATTGTTTTAAAGATCTACATTATCTGTCTATATGTCCTACTACAGAATCATTTTAAAATAAACTCCAAGACACTTTGCAAATATTTTTGTTGTAAATAATTTAATTTCCTGAAGTAGATATTTGAACCTTCCCTACTTCTTCTTGGCAGATTATATAACTCTTACTTTCCTAAGTAATAAAAAGCAGCCTGAGCTCTTTTTATTTCATTTTCCTTCCATTTAAGATGTTTCTGTGTCTTACTCTGAACTTTCTCCTCCTCCCACCAGATTTGGACTCTATATCTGGGACCCTGCATTCCGATAAGTGAGTTTCACAAAATCTTACCCAGAACCAGGGCACAGCATTGATTTTCAACCATTTCTAAACCAAGCAACAATGCCTTACCATCCCCTTCAAACTCTAACTCCCCTTTATGGTTTTCCTGTTAAGATGAAGCTCCTTGAGGGCAGGCACTATATTACTTGCTTTTATTTGTATCCCTACCCTTTAGAACAATACCTAGAACATAGAAAGCATTTAATAAATGCTTTTTCATTCACTCAAGAAATTCATCCATTTTTTCTTCCATCTTACATATTTTTAAGAAGTATCCCTTTCAAAATAAGCCCTTCTCCTGTGTTATTGATTCTTATGATCTGTGGTTGAATTTGTTCAAGTAATAGTCTCTTCCCTGTTTCTGGAATGTTCAGAAACACAGAGCCAAAGAATTTCAGCCTTGGGAACTTAGCAGCCATCTAACCCATGTGGGTGATACCTAAAATAGAATACATACTAAAATAAACACAGAAAGCCATCATTTGTCTTTCTTTGGAGAACTTTAATGGTAGGAATCCCATCCCATCTGTAGGCAGCCCATTCCAATTTGAAAAAGCTCTTATTGATTTTCTGGACAATGAATTTAAATTAGCCTCCTCATAACTTCTACCCATTAGTTGTTTTTTTTGTTTGTTTGTTTGTTTGTTTGTTTTGTTTTTCCCCTCTTTGGCCAAATAGAGAAAATCTTATCCCTCCTCCACATAACAGCCCTTCAGATGCCCAAAGAAACATATCATGTCTTCTATAAGTGTTCTGTTTTCCAGGAAAAAACATGTCCATTTCCTTCAATTGTTATATGACACTATCGATCTCACAGAGTTTGGTCTAAGAAAGACAAAGAAGATTAGGTTGTATCCATTGTTTTATTTATCTCAAAGTGAGCAGTATGCATGCATGGGAGCTGTGGTTTTGGAACTGAGCTTATTTTGGGCTTAGGGTGCACAGCTTATATAGGGTGCACAAGGGTGATGTCATCCCATCTTCATTTTACCTCTGGACAGAGGAAATACCTCTTTTATCAGACCACCCCCAACCATACCAGATGACTCTCAGCTTTGGGCTATCTAGACAAAAAAAATCTCTATCCAAGGCTGAGCAGAACACAATGGGGCTTCTCCACCTTAGATTAAATTACTTGTGGGTTTGGTTGGGGAATGACCAGGACACGGAGAGTCAATGCAATCTCATTATCAGTAATGTCCTTCAACAGAGCATAAAGTCAGGACTTTGGAAGAAGGGGACTAGGAGAAGCTCTGAATCTCCAATATATTGGTTAGTAATAATTTTTCATAACACATACTCAAGACACTTCATTATGTTGGTTGTCCTCCTCTTGACACTCTCTAGCATACAACTATTTTTCCTATACTGTGGTATCCAAAACTGAAAACAATATTCTAGATGTTATCTGATCAGGCCAGGGTGGCAAAAACGATGTCACCTCCTTATTTCTGGAAGCAATACCTCTATTAATGAAGTCCGACATTACCATTACCTAAATTCATATTCTCTCTCTCTCTCTCTCTCTCTCTCTCTCTCTCTCTCTCTCTCTCTCTCTCTCTCTCTATATATTTATATATATATATATATATATATATATATATATTATTATATATATATATATATTTCCCTTTCCTCTGCTTAATTTTTTTCATCTTTACTTATCCTCCAATATTTCAAAAAATCCATTATTTCAACCATGTAGGTCTACCTTCCCTTGGTGCAAAACATAACCCATTCATGCTTTTGCCAATGGTCTTTAAAAAAGAATATGGGAGGGAAGAAAAAAAAGAAAAAAGTTATGTGATAATTTTGTTATACATTTGAAAGGAATAGCAAGTTGTGCATAGTAGATTTGCAGTTTCATGTACAATCTTCTTTTTTTAATTGGGCCATGTTATGAAAATGCATGTTTGATTCTATAAATTAAAAATAAAATTTTAAAAAATTTAAAAATCAGGACCTAGTGTCCAACCTTCTAATTATAAATCTTTCTAGACATAACTAGGTTTGTTCTTGAATAAGACGGTGAATGTGTTGCCAGATGAATACTAGAAATATTCCTATCTTGCTAAAGCTTATATCCCTTGGCATAGCTTTGGTGAATCAAGCAAGCAAGAAGTATTTATTAAGCAATACTATATACCAGGCACTGTACTAGGCATGGGGAAACAAATTATAATAACTGAAACCATTCCTGCTCTCAGGGAGCTGATATTTGTCAAGGAAGACAATATATACAGAATATAAATATATACAGAACAAAAAAATCAATAGGTAGTATTTAGATAGCACCTTAGAGTTTGCATAGCACTTTACAAATAATGTCTCATTTTATCCTCACAACCTGGGAAATAGTTGCTATTATGATAGCTATTTTACAGATGAGGACACAAAGGCACAGAGTGATGAAGTGATTTGTTTGTCACATGGCTTGCAAGTAAGTGAAGATATATTTGAACTCAGGTGTTCTTTACTCTAGGTCCAGCATTCTATACAAGGTAATTCAATACAAGATAGGGAGGAAGGGCACTACAGCCATAATTTACCATGATGAGGCCTTAGAGTTAAGCTTTAATGGAGGCAATTTCCCTTAACAATAACAACAACAAAATAAACCTAAAAAGAAATATAACTGCATATAGTTATGCATGTTACTATATAGAGAGTATGTGTGTACATATATGCATGTATATATTTGTAAGAAAAGAAATTCCTTAACGTCTTTCTCCTTTTGTTAAAATGATTTCTTTTAAAAAATAGTTTGTACTTACTGTTCTCACTTCTTCACTAAGTTATATCCCCTAAATCTCTGAAATCTAGCCTCCAATTCTACTATTCCACAGAAATTGTACTTTCAAAGATGATTAATGACCCATTAATCCCCAAATTATGTGTCTTTTCCTTATTCCAAATTCTTCCTGTTCATACCTTATTTCTGGAATTTTTCTCCCTTGGTTTTTTTTTTTTTGACACTGCACTATGTAGGTTCTCTTTTGTTTTTCTAACCACTTTTTCTCAGTCCCTTTTACTGGCTCCTCTTTCTCTTTCTGACCTGTAATTGTAGGCATCCTTCAAAGTTCTATGCTTCACTTCTTCATATTCTTTCTTGTTGATTTAATCTGCTTCCACAGCTTCATTTCTCAATTATAGGCAGATATTTTCAATATATATCTCTCCATGTCTGGTCCCTCTACTATACACTAATCCCTTATTTCCATAACTCTTCTAAATATTTTCAAATAAATGTCCCCCAGGTACCTCAAAGCCAATATAGTTCAAGCCAAACTTCTCTTTTTATATTCTGAAACCAAATCTTCCTCTTGATTTTCTGTTTTTCCTTTCATTTCCCATTGTGAAGGAAGAATTTTCTTTCCTCCACAACCTTGGAGATATGGGATCTGACACCATTGCTTTAATTCTTCTTAAATTGCATCTGATTCTGAGGTAGCCCTTATCTCTCTCATGTATAGATTTAACAATCCTTGAAATACCAAACCTGTTGTAATATAGCATTATTTATGCCTCAAGAAATTGTGATTTCCCTGGTGTGAGCATTTGAAGGAATGAAAGAATGAAGGAATGAATGAATTGCCTACTTTAGAGCAAAGCATTGTGCTAAGTACTAGAGATACAAATACAAAAGCATTTCAGATAGATAAGTGTTCTCTGTTCTTGAGGAACTCGCTTTCTAATGGGGGAAACAGCATATGAAAGCTTTCAGTTGCAAATCACTGCTCCAACAATGCAGATTCTCACTCTTCTTTGACTTAGTAGAAGGTCTTTAAGAATTTCTATTACTTAAAACATTGTCCCTGTGATCCCCAAATTTAGCTAGGCTTGTCCTCAATCAATGAATATATAGTCTGTCACATCAAGCCATTCTATCCTAAATCATTCTATCCATTCTATCCCAAAGAACTGTGACCTATTCATAATGCATATGGTACTTTGATATCTGTAGATAATAATAAATGAGCAAACCTGAATTAGGGGTACATCCTCATTTTTTGGTTGTTGTCAAAGAGCTGTATAATTTTTTAAAAACCTTGTTGAGATAACATATTCAAGTATAGAAGAACTGAATTGCAATGATTTTTTTTCCTACGTATTAGCTGTAAACATAGGTAAGTCACAACTTCTTTGGGCCTCAATTTCCTCATTTGTAAAATGAGTGCTTGTATTCAATGCACTCAAAGGACCCATTTAGCCCTAGATCATATAAGCCTATAATTCAGGGAATACTGTTATCTATCAGAGAGAAATGACTAAGTTAAAAGACTTACCTTATAACTCAGGTAACCAAGTAACACTGTTTCAAAGAGACTTATCAAGGCCACTGAAACCTAAAATATAAAATGCAAGAAAAAGTTACTACAATTAGTACATGTATTCATGGGTAGATAATAATAACATTGAATACAGTGATGGATATGTTGTTACTTTACCATTTGGCATTTCTAATATTTCCCTATACAGATCCTCTGTCTAGTGTACCAAATGCCACAACTGGACTAGAACTATCTCATTAGACAAAATTAGCTACAGGTAGAAGTAGGTAGTTATTTATTGTTGTTTTTTCCTTCATTATTTTTAAAGCATCAATAGTAATGGCCAAAGTAGAGTAGAATTGATACTAGGACATATATTAGTTATTGGGATAAGAACATAGGAAAAGAAAAGAAAGGAGGCACTAGAAAAAATGTTCTTATAGAATCAAGTATTAACAGAAAAGTTCTATGTGTATCAGTGGGAAATTAAGTAAAAGTCTTACCTGTGCTTAGTACTTAAAACAAGTTCATCTTTTAAGAAGACAATTGTTTTTCAATTACATAGAAAGTTCAATCAATTATAGGCCAAGAAATACAGAATATGGAGAAAACAAAAACATATGGGATTCAGAAAAATTAGAATGTAACCTGTAAGCCCCATAATGGTAGACATCTTGTGACCCAAAAGATATGATACCTGTGAAGAAGAATGATAAATTGGTAATATAGATTCAGTACATGATTTCATAGTTGAAAATATTTTAATGAACTTCATAATATTCAAATGATCTGTAAAACAGATTAATAAGAACATCGTGAACACAACTGAAATTAGACATATTCCTACTTGATTACTTACCTTCAGTACTGGATTATAAAGAATTAGTAGTTACATTTTATAGCCTAAATCAGTATCTAGTATTGTATGTAAAGTAATTGAAGGACAATTTAAACAATGAAGATTGCAGAACGGAAAATGCATAGACATAAATTCAATTCTCTTGAAACTCATACTATAGTATGATTTGTCTTTTGGCAACACATTCAGCAAGATGAAGAACCATAGACTCATGAATTCTGAGTCAGAATGAACTTTTAAAAAAAATTGTCTAGTCAAAATTCTGTCTAGAACAACAGCAACAAGTGATTATCCATGGCCTGAGATATGTAATTATAAAGAATTTTCTACCTGTCCCCTGGCCTTGTCTTCCTGAAAACTGATGATACCTTTTTGACCTAACCTTACTGTTAGGACATTTTTTTCCCTTATTTTGAGGCAAAATCTGCTTCTTTTAACTTCTAGCCATTAGGCCTAGTCCTGCCCTTCAGGGTCAAGGTGAACAACAGTGATCTCTTTTTCTACATGAAAGTTCTTTAAATAATTGTAGAGTATTCAGAGCTTGCTCTCTGTGACCCTCACCTCCATTTTTTCTTCTCCAAGCTAAACAGCTATAATTCCTTCAGCTGACACTCATATGATATATTCATCTTCTATATGTACCAGTTTATCAGTGCCCTTTCTAATATGTGACATTCAGAACCTGACACAAATATTACAGATGGAACTCATCTTGAAGTAATAACTATACTTATAAAATGGGAATTCTCAATATTGGATTAAAAAATAGTCTTTACCATAACAAAAAAAAATCTTTAAGCTATTTAAGATTAACTAAAAGTTATCATTTTATAAACAACAATATTCTAGTATGACATAAACTGTTTTACTGATATCTATACTAATTGATACACAGTGAGGTTCAAATGGAAATAAAATAAATCAGAAAACCATGCTTGGAGAAAAAAGATAGTGGTTACATTACCAAAAATAGAATAGGAAAAATTTGACAGTAAGCAACACTCAGGGGACTACCAGTTGTTTTAGAAACTTGGTCAGGAATATTTCCACAGAACATTGAATTGGAAACATGTTTTAATTCCAAAGATGTGTTATATGCACAAGATAAATCAGAGAAGGAGAACAGAGGGACATTTGATATAGATCTCAAGTCTGACAGATAAAAAATTATGGCCAATAGAGTTTAAATGAGCTCACACTGACAACTGGCAATACTGACAATGAGCTCTAATTGATAATGAATGAGAGCTAGTTTTGTCTTTTCTCTCAGTAACTGCAGCATTCACACAGAAAAAGCTTGGGAAAATTAGTTTTGAAAACCCATTAATTTTATTCTTTTGAGGTTCTATATTGTTTTACTATATCTTCTTTTTAAAACAAAATTATGGCTAGTATCCTCTGAAGCTGGAAATTGTCTTGGACTCTCTAGACCTCTGAGGAATCCTGAATATGAACTGTTTCTATATTCAAAAAATAAAATAATGATTCTTAAAATTTCTCATATATTTAGCTTGACATTAACTTCATAGAATTATTTCCAACAAAGCTGGGGCTAGAGATAAGCAACTAGGGCAGTCACCTAAGATGGGACACACAGGGACACCCAATGAATGACATTTTTAAATGTTACTTTGTACAATTCAGTGTCATAAGGGGATGGAGAGCTGCTCTGAGAATGAATCCATTCAAGTCTCCCTTCTGACAAATACCAATTGCATGTACGTGGACAAGTCAATCAATTTCTTAATGCTGTAAGCCAGTGGTATCAAATTCATATAGAATAGGAATCGGATACACTAAATATAAGGATCCCTGCTGCTGCATGTTAACTTAATTTTAAAATGTAATACTATCTATGTTATATTGTCTTTTTATTTTGTTAATTATTTACTGATTTCATCTTAATCTGGTTCCAGTTTCAAAGCATTGTGAACCTGTGGACCACATGCTGCCAATAAGCAATGGGTTTGACCCTTCTGCTCTACAGGATTCCTACAATTCTAAATTATAGAGAAGGTTCAAAAACCTGCCTTGGGAGGAGTTCTTCATGAGGAGCTCATTACACTGGTAAAATCCCAGGTATGGGGGGGAGGCTAGAAATTGAAGGGAAGGGGGAATGAAGGAAGGAAGAAAAAGAAAGAAAGAAAGAAGGAAGGAGAAGAAAAGAAAAGGAAAAAAGAGGGAAAAGCATAAACTCTTCTTGGAAAAGATACTGGAGTGGTTTGCTATTTCCTTCTCCAGCTCATTTCATGGATGAGGAAACTGAGGGAAACAGGGTAATATCTGAGGCAAGATTTGAATTCAGGAAGATGAGTCTTTCTAAGTTCAGGCCTCGAACTCTATCCACTATACCACCTAGCTGCCCTGACTGCAAGGCTCCTCTTCCACCAACTATGTCACAGTGTGTTCTCCCACGGGTATAAATATGGCTAGTTTTGCGGGAAGTATTAGAATCCAATTTGAAGGAGACTTAGTTTTTATGTAAATTTTGGCAATAACAATGAACTTTAATCATATACATAATAGATCTTCCAAAGATGATAGAAAGTAATTTCGGTTTGTCAATATAAATTCAAATTAGAAACCTCCTTGCACTACAAGTAGATGGATAATCATTCTTTAAGATAATATATTTTCTAGTATCATAGACATCTTTTTGGAAAGGACTTCTAGAGGTCATCTAGTCCACCTACTTGCTTTCAGACAATATCCATCTAAATAATACCAGACAAAGAGTTGTCTTTTTTACAGACTTTCAAAAATAGAATCTAATCTTCAATGGGTGGGTTGTTCTAATGACATATTGATTACAACCAAGTCTTTTCTACAGTCTCATTCAGATCCTTCCACTTCTCTTTTCAGCTGAAATAGATTATTACTACTTGGCATGATATGTGGATAATTTTAATGACTCTTGTGAAGTCTCCCCTTTTGATCTTCACCTTCAGCATTTTACACTTACAGGTATTTGGTCCCTTAATAAATGTTTGCTGAGTGAATTGAAATTGTCTGAATAACCTTGAGTCCTTTAGTCTGTCTTCATATAGCCTATTTCCTGACTTCCTTCTGGTCCTTTCTTCAACTTGCTTAAATTGCAGTAACCAAACTGAATGAAACAATCATATTAACCAATATTTGATAGAGCGGGAATATTCTTGAAGTTGCCAAGAATTTTTGAAGGAGCTACAGAGCCTAGACTCAGGAGGGCCACAGTCTAGCTGCAAGGCAAAATATCTATTCATAAAACAGTGAATCTTTGAATTAGACTTTGAATGGGGTTTGGGGGGAGGCAAGTAACTGATTAACCTAGAGGAAAGAGAAAGTAGTCCAAGTAAGAAGGGAAGTATAAACAAGGTGCAGAGTCAGGAGCTATAAAGCTATAAAGTTTTATCTTTATGTTGTATAGCTAAATGAAAGCTCCTTATAGTCAGATGCTTTTTGCTTTATTCTTATGTTTTTGTCTCTGGGCCTTAACAATGAACTGAACATAGAAGGTATTTAACAAGTGTTTGTTTAATTGAATTAAGTGTATTTGTTTGGGGGATAGAGGGAGTAGAACAAGCAAAATGGCTTAACTCAGAATATTTCACATGCTTCTACATGCTAGATTGCTGTTTTATTAATCCCACCATCTACTTTACGTTTCTGAAATAACACTATTGAAAAATCTTAGCTGACCAGAGCAGGGTTTTATCCCCACTATTGGTCAGTCCCTCTTCTGACATATATTGGTTGTAGAACCCTGAGCAAGCCATCTAACTTCTAGATTCTCTGAGCATCCTTCTATTGCCATGTTGCAAAAAATGTTCACCCCTATTTGTTTTCACCATCTCTACCCCTTACATTGGTAAAAGGAGCTTCCATAGCTGGGAATTCTGAATACCAATGAAATCACATGTCGAGTGCCTATCCCTATCCCTATCAGTCAATGGCTTTGTTATGGGGAACACTCTGTATTACTAGCCCTGGCAATTCATGTTATCCATGTGTGGCCATGAAGTATGTGAGATGTGAAACCTATGTCAGAGTGTTTACTGTCTCGGAGAGGGGGAGGAGAGGGAAGGTTAGAATTTGGAATTCAAAACAAAAAAAATTAATGTTAAAAGTTGTTTTTACATGTAATTGGAGAAAATAAAATATTTAAAATAAAAAGTGTGTGTGAGAATATGGATAAGTAAAATTCATTACTGTTACTATGAAAGTAACCATCTTAATAATGGTTTAAAGCAGTATAACTGGGAAGTAATATTGAAGAACATTGGGGTATAATGTAAAGAGCACTAGACTCTACACTAGACAAAGTAGTGACCTGCCCTGGCTCTACCAAGAATTGTGTAGCAACAAGAAACTCACCTTTAAACTCTTCAAATTCCTTATGTAAAAGTAAGATCAAATCTAACTTCACAGATTTGTTGATTTGCAGTTTTGTAAAGTGCTATATAAATATAAGCTACCACTGTTCTGTGTCACTATACATTATGCCACTAAATGTAATCATGTCTACTCTTATAATTAAAAAAAAAAAAACTTCATTCTTAGAAAATTAACTGGATTTATAAGAGTCATCCCTCTGATCTGAACCTGATCCTTTGGCCTTCCATTAAATGTTGTTTGTTAGAATGATACGGAAAAACCTATAGTTCCTCTGATGAGTGAAATGTTAAAAGTAGCTGCTTAGTTTTCAATTAACTTAGAACTTTAGTGTTCACTGTTGCTGTTATTCAGGTCATTATTTATCCTGCAGGAAGATTACTCTCCCTAAAGCATTGCTTTGATGTCACCACTGGTATGCTCAAAAAACTTCAGAGAATCATAGAATCAGAATTTGAGAGTGGGAG